GCACCATTCGATGGCACAGTTCCCAGTAAATTTAATCTAAAAGCAAGCGGGCAAGTTTTCTGACACATACGCGAGAAGTGCGGACAAAGTTACGCACTTTCGTGACTCCGTTACAGTTACCTCGCCATATCTCTGCAGAAAGACCATATACTTTACAGAGACCACGATTTGTAATGAGCGCGTCCAAAAACCTCTATGAGCGGAGTTTCTTCACAATTCGAGATCATCAACATTTTGACCAAAATCCATCGGCCGGCTTCAGAGCGTAAAACAAGAAAAATGAAATCATCCGAAAATCTCAGAAAACTTGTTCATAAGGGTTATCCGACCTGCTGATTATGAAAATCACATCTGTTTGGCAAGAGAGCTTCATATTTTAGAGTTACGGTGAGAAAAATTTAAAAAGACATGATTTTTCCAGAATTCACCAGCCCTTCTATTTCCTTTGGAAAGAAGTGCACGACTATTTTTTAAAGTCCCATAATCTACAGAAGAAGTACCATCGAAAGATTCTTTCTAAAATCTACTGGCGGCATACGCGCTGATTTACACACTTTGCGAAGAGATTTCCGCAGAAAGTTTCAAGAATACTGAATTCGAAATATCAAGGACATTCTGTACATCGGAAGATTCGCCTTGATGAGCTGAGCACAATGCTGTTTTCGGATTCAGAAAATATTCACTCCAAAGAAAGCTACGGTGAGAACAATTTAAAAACGCGTGATTTTTTCAGAATTCACCAACGCTTCTGTCTCTTTTGGAAAAAAGTCTGCGACTACTTTCTAAAGCACTATAATCTACAAGAGCAACACTATCGAATGGTACTAACTGGTATCTTTTGTGTTGGATAGGCGCTGCGTTACATCCTTGCGAAAGGAATTTGTCTTGACGAGCTGAACACAATGCTGAAGCGAAAAATTTTGAGAGTAAATTAGCTTGCAGGAATAAAATTGCTCCAAAAAAGAGCGGAGAATTCTGTAGTTAGATAAGCATAACATGCAGGCTCTCTTCAATTTCACGAGTTAAAGGCAGCGTCCAGGCAGATTTGGATCTATGGGAATTTTACGTGGAACTTTGGGGCCCTAACTAAGGCACTGCCAAAGCGGCAGCGCAGGTAGTGCTCTAACGGCTGAAATTTTCCCATCGAAACTGGACCCCGCGATCGTATTCGCATGGATTCATGGCAGTTCCGCGCCAGGACACACGCTTTGCGCCATGAATCCATGCGAAATACGATCGCGGTGTCCAGTTTCAAGGGGAATATCTCAGCCGTTAGAGCACTACCTGAACTGCCGGTTGGGCAGTGGCTTGGTTAGGACCCCAAAATTACTACCCAGGTGAGATTCCCATGTGTCCAGACTTGCCTGGACGCTGCCTTTAACGCATTTCTAAATTCAGTGTTGGTGCCACTATTATCGATAATGGTACAGCCCTCCTTTTGGATGCTTGCTGCCCTAGCACTAGCCTGCACATCTACCAGATTGACTCTATAAGCAAAAATGCGTTTTCAAGTCCGGTTTCTCGCACACTGAAATACAGTTTTTTAATTTGTGAGTTGTATTTTTTGAGCTGTTTCATACTGCAGTCGCTGCAGCAACTGCAGTGATACTGGAGCGAGCAACAAATATCGATCGATCGACTGTCGTTGCCGCAGGGACTGCAGAATGAAACAATCCCTCACGGTCATACACTTCTGAGGACATACGTGGTTTCCTTCCATAGATGTTAGCCTTTTCCTGCTTTTGACGCATATTTTTTTTACATTTCTCTGATGAGGGCAAAGTCCGAGAAAATTGGAAAAGAGCTATGGTTGTACCTATATCCAATTTCAGAACATGGTTATAAGCTTAAGACGCAAGGGCAATCGCACCAGCCAAGACCGATGAATGAGGACCATGCTATGCGAGTTACAGTTACAGAGCCACTCAGCATCCGGCCAGTGATTGCAACCTTCGGACGCAAAGGCACCACAAGACCACCAGCGAGAGCCGATGAGCGAGGCAGCGCCATGTGAATTCCAATCACAGAGTCATTAAGCGGTCATTCCCAATCAGTAGTTGGGCAAAAGATGAGCATTCCTCATCGCAGACAGTGTACGCCCCTTTCCTTTCTTTGCAGGATGTTTCGAAAATTACAAGGGTCGGTGTTGCTCTTAGGCCCGTATGCACTAACATTTCTGCGGCGAGGGGAGCGGCGTCCCCCGTTATGAAGGGACCGCGTGCGGACGCCGCTGCTACTTTTTCATCATTGGGGACGCCGCTCCCCTCGCCGCAGGGATGTTAGTGCATGCGGCCCTTACTTTTTTATACACACATATATGCGGTTATTAATACAGATACTCTACGCATATACCGATGTACATCGATATACAAGTGTATACAATTACAACATATACAGGTATGCACACGTGGACATGTATTCTTTCGCATTCTTCTTGGCTGCCTCCTCAACGGCTTTGATTCGGCCAGCCATCTCGGCCAGCTTCTTTTTGCCTCGGGCGCTCATGTGGATTTCGGGAGGCAGTCTTCGTTCTGGTCCGTCTGGTGCCTATTCGCCGATGTTAGGGGGGGGGGGCTCTTGCATTCTTCGTCTCGCACGTCAGACTTCTGCTAGTTCGTCTCTTAATGCTTGCATCTCTCGGTCAACACCGTTCGGACCGCGAAATCGCGCGCGGCGAAAAAGAGTGCAGTTTCAGCCATTCGCCAACGAAGGAATCACCCTATTTCGTAGACTGTGTGTTAGATCTGTAATCAGCTTGTCAGATAAGTTCCATTCCCAAAGTTCTGCGTGGATTCGAAGTGTTTGATTTGATTTTGTCGATTGTGAAGGACTTCTGTGCTTTCCTGAAAGATAGAAACAAGAACTCAATTTCTGATATTATCTAAAGGTTTCTATGTTGTAGACAACTCAGCATTGAAAGTACGGTTTCTCTTTGATGTCAAATCAAAAGAAAGTTGCGACGTCACACGCGTCGTTCACGTTGCCGCACTTCGTTGCAACTGTTGTTCGATTTGTGCTCATATCTCCTAAAGATATCGGCGACACAACTCTACGGAGTCATTTAAAAAGTATTAGGTTGTCCGGAAATTATTGTCCGTTTTGAATTTCAACCGCAATAAGTCATACATTTCTCATTGTTAGATAGTATGCAAAGTACTATTCGGTAGAGCAAAGCATGCTCTACAAGAGGGCAGTCTTGATTTAGCCTCAGCTCTGATCCATCTCGAGTTTCAAGCCAAAAACTAAAAAGATTCAAGCGTCCGAAAAATCGAGAAAAATCGTAAGTCTCTTCATAAAAATCCTACAAAATCTCTAAGTTGTCCACGTAAATACTGTCTACACAAGACATCTATACACGCCGTTGCCGTATTTTCGCTAAATTCGCTAAATCAAGACTGCCCCCTTGTAGAGCATGCTTTACCTTATCGAATGGTACTTTGCATGCTATCTAGAAATGGGAAGTGTATGACTTATTGCGGTGTAAATTCAAAACGGACAATAATTTCCGGACAACCTAATAGAAGCTTAGGCCTTTGACTTGATAACCTTGGACTAAAAGAAAACTTCTTGTAAACTTCAAAAAGATTCCTCAAAGCAGCGTGCTGCACCATGTGCAGTACCGGTCCGAAACGTGTTAAAATCCTTTCCGGTAACGGAGTTAGTGCGCGGCAGGAGGTGCTCAGCCCTAGTAGCCGGAGTGGAGGACGATGGATACGGAGAACGTCTCGATCAACATTGAGACTTCGAACAGCTCGTTTGCTTAACAGATAGTCAATCGCCCTGACGGCTTATCGTCTGATTCAGTTGAAGTTGGGTAAAAACGACCATGCTTGGAGCCCTACCGGACCTGGCGGCGTAACCGGAACTCGGGGTGATGACGTTCTCACTCTCTGTGCACTCTGTGCCGTTGCTGTCTGACTCTGACCGTCTTGGATCATGGACGCGGTGTGTGCTAAGGCAGCTGTCTTGACTATAACTATGAATGAGGTTCGAAATTCCATTGTAGTGAAAGCGGCTTGCTGCATCAGATAGTATCTCTACTGATAGTGTAAACCTTCGCAATGATTTCAGTAATATGATTATCACTGTGCAATTCATGTGCATTTTCTTCTGGATTTTCAACTCTCCGAAGTCTTGGCCGACTTTGCTGGTTCTTCCGAATTGCATAACAGTCGCGGGAACGAGAGATAATTCTTACCAGTTTGTTCTTTGATACTTCTACTTGCGGGGGCTTATTTTGAGAACGTGCTGATTCATTTGCGCATTATATGCAACTTTTCCAGACTTTAGAACAACTGCTGTTCAGAATACCACTATAGGCAGAAAGACATTAGAATTGTATAATAATTGCAATGTTGATTGGCGCCTCGTCGAAATTGTTCCCACAAACACTGTGCGCTGTGGAGAGTTTGGGTGGTGCACTGATCCACTTGCGCTGAGATGCAAACTTTCCCGGATTTCCAACGCACTTATAGGTAAACTTTAGGACTGTAAATTGATTGTAAGGACGGCAAACATCTTCACAGCAACTGTTCCCACAACACTGTGCTATGGGAATTGTTTCGGTGCTACACCAATCCATTTGCATCAAGCGTGCGACTTTCCCGAATTTTCAAAGGTCCTTACTTTCTCGGCTATCATCCTGGATGGGTAACTGCAGAACTGTGAATTGATTTCAAAGACGACAGGCATCCTCACAGCAATTTCTCACAACACTATACGTAGTGAGAATTACTTCGATGGTGCACCGGTCCACTTGCAACGTGCATGCAAATTTCCCAAGTTTTTCAAAGGTGTTTAGAATCTCGGCCATCACCTTGGATGATTGGAATGCGGCCCCATTCAAATCTACACAGTCGGCTGCGCCGGCGGTCACGTCGCGCACAGAGCACAGGCCACGCTTGCTGCCGCAATGCACGTAGTCGTCACCGTGCATAGTCATTAATGACGCGAAGAATCTCAGCAACCATTGCGAGTTTGAGCTGCGATTACACTTATTGTTAGAGTGGATATCCCTCGACCATTGACCATGAGTCCGTCTTTCTAAGCGATGCACCTGCCTCGCTGTGGTCATTTCTTACTTCTGAATAAAAAGAGTTCTATCGTATGCACCTGTTTCACTCAGCCAAATGCTTTCGTGATAACCAGACATTCTCATTATCTTTTCTTCACTTTCTTCAAGGCGATCGGAATTACCAGTTTTTACAGGATGAAATTGACGATCTATATTGAGAAGAACTTGACCGGTTCGGCAAGTGCAACTAGTTATATTTACACAGCAAGAAGGTTGGGTCAGCGCCGTCTGAGCTGCCTAAATAGAGATGTAACTTTGTAGAAAGCATGCGAAGTTTTGACGTCTTACTGAGGGTCCTGTTATTTTGCTATGCACTGAGTGATCCGCGTGAAAGTTTCCGATATAGTGCATTCATCCTTCCCAATGTCAAATTGAGCTTTTTGTGTTTGCTCTTCTCATGACAAGGTGTGTGAGGTTAATTAACTAAAGCAGGCCCTATACTCCTCGAAGAGTATAGCATGGCGACTGTGTCTTCTTTAAAGCGCGAACAATGGGGAAAAACTCTTCGTCGCAGCTGTCCAGAACCTTCATGAAGTCGTCTTCAGAGCTCTGTTGAATTCATTTGCACTTCCATTCCTCATACGCAGTCTCGAAGAGTGTTGAGTACTGATGTGGTAGAATCGCGGCGTAGAACTCGAATGTTTCTCTCAAATCTTCGAATGATGTTCCCGTTACAAGGTTGGGTAGGAGGAAATTTTGGACGCGAGAGTGAAGAGAGGAGAAAATCTCTCATTGAGTTCCGTGATCAGGCATTCCAAGAAAGGAGAGTAGATCCTGCTTTTGAGACTTTCTGAGGCACTCTGTAATGGTTTTACTATCATGTTGATGAGATAATATTGGCACGCTTACCTCTGCTATGCCGCTTTCTGTCGCGCGGTCCTCCGACTCCATTGCTTTCATGCCTTGCACCATGTGGCGATACTCTCGCTGCACGCGACTAAAGCAGCCGACTCCCTAATCTTTTTCTATTTACATTCTTAGCTGCTGTACTAGTAATCTCTGCTGATTTGCTTGAAAAAATGACCCTGAAAGCCCTGAGCAAGAAAGTGAAGCATGGATTTACCTTGGGAAGCGTGTTGGCTGCTGACTGCAGTTGCTCCGATAAAGTTTTCAGAGCTCTCATGGTCACTGATAGCAGACAGGAGCGAACGCAAAGCACTCTTCGCAAAGACTTATAACGTAGTTGTGACCATCAGGTTCAGTCTCCGCCAGCTCCGTACCGCCATTACCAGTAAAAAGAGTGACTTGAAACTATGCTTCGGCCCTTTTCACCCATCTCGTCTCGTACAAGTTCTTCAGTAACCTCCTTCGGTTTTCTGAGGCGTGTCTTTCAATAGCGTCCTTGAGCATGTGGGTTCTCTTCGGGGAGGTGCGGAAAAAGGCGCTGATTTTGGCCATCACTTCAAATGCATGTCTAATTGGTACGATGGACGATTTTACCAAAGTCAAGTTCAGCACGTGCGCGCAGCAGTGCACATACAAAGCATGTGGACAGAGATGACGGATCAGAGATTGTACTCTTCCGCACGCCGGACATGAAGGTGGCTCCGACGTATCCTTGCCACACTAGATATCTGACATCAAGGCCACAGTGTGTCAAAGTCGATAGATTAAGCTCAGCTAGCGCGGGACCTGAACAGTCGGCTGCCTCTGCAAAGGTCAAGAACTTCTCTTCAACTGAGGCTCGCCCACTTTCATCTTTTGAAATAAATCTCACAGAGATTGTAAGCTGTTCCAGCCTCGCAGCGTCACTAGTCTCACCCGCAAGTATCGGAAAAAACTTGGCTTTTTGCACCAATCCACGATTTCTCTTTGGATGAGTCGTCCCGATATGTCGACTATTTCATTTTGAATTTTTTTCGAACTGTATTGGGCGTTCTTTCCTCCTTTCTCGAGATGTCTGCAAGAGCTCTGTCGTACATGGCCCGCTACCCCAGCACAGTTCTAAAATTTCCCTGTTCGGGATCCAATTTCGCCACACTCCTCTCCGAAACTATGACTGGCCCGCTGTCGCGGTGACCGCGAAAAGCTAGTCCGCAACGTCGAAGAACCGAAACCGTTTCAACCACCGGTTGTAGCAGCCGACGTCGGTTTTCTATCCTTTCTCTTTCGTCTTGGTGGAGTCTTTCCTGGATGTCGATCTCTGGAGTTCGCATTGCTGATATAAATCGCTCGGCTCGCTCGGTACTGAATTTGTTGTAGTCTCTCTGGACGTGTGTGGTATGTATCTGTCCTTTCTGAAAATTCTACTGAACTTCTTCAACGGTTCGTAGACCAGCGCTATTTTTTGCGCTCCAAAATGAGCGTCCGCCTCGTCGATAAACAGCGTAGAGTACCTGCAAAACAGTCCCCCTCCCCAAGCGGAGGACCGTAGGCAAGGCAGCGGGATTCTGCCTCTGAAGGTGATCTAGCTGCAAATGCCTTATTGAGCCTCCCGCTTCTGGTCATCCAAACCTCTGAAGGCCATGCAGAAGCTAGTTCCGCTGGTGTTGTGTAGAATTCGGTTAAAAATTTCAGACTTTGTTCATCACTGAGATTTTGAACGCCGATGTTGAAAACGTTCCCGAAGTCCAGTGGATGTACAAACGGAACAGCAGCTGAAGTGGGTTCAGCATTGCTGGGAACTTCTGCGGATGTTGTTGGCTGGTCAGGTTCGCTACTGACTTTGTCCACACTCTGTACTGATTCCGTTGAAGATGTTTTCAGTTCTTCTAATCATATTTTTAGACATCCTGAATGCACTGCGGGGCTTCCTCTTGGCGTCTTGATTAGCCATTCAGAAAGATCTGACCGACTGGATGATCGCTTCCGAGATATTCTTCTCATTTTCCTGCTCAGATTTTCATTTCTTTCAATTCTTTGACCTTTGTTTTGAAAGAATCCACGATTTCCACGATTCTAAGCAAATATGGTTAGTTCTGTTCAAAAAAGCCAAAGTGCTATTTTTGATGATAAAGCTTCGAAAGTTGTCTGAGCGTTTATGACAAATTTCAGTTAACCAACTTTGAAAAGCCTCTGAGATTAAGCTGTGTAGAATTTTTTTATTCGCTTCTGATGGTGGGTTCAAATCAGCATTTTGAGACTGTGTGACACAACAGTGCAGAAAAACGCGGACTTTAGAAAGAACTGTAGTCGGATGACTTCACACATGTTTCCAAAAATAGGTTTTCAAAAACCATATTGTTGTGTTAGTAACTGATCAGTTGTTCCTCATAGTGATCTGCCTCGCGCAGTCGATCGCAACCTCAGGGTGCGCGGATGAGCGCTATAAAAGGCGCTCTTTGCATGAAAATTTCCGAATTACGGTGCTGCCACCAAGCCCCCAACTTGAGTGGAAAAGACGGTCTGCAGAGTATCAATCCTTGATGAAAGCGTCTAGCTCCATAGCTCTCACCAAAATGGTCTTTGCGAGATCGGATTGTAATATTTGAAAGGAAAACCTTAAAAACATTCGAAAAACCATTGAAATCTCAATAATTGCTTTTGACGAACAGAATCAAATTAAGGGCACAATTGTAGTAGATGGACCTGACTTCCTCGTTTTCTCGTTTATGCAATCTCAGAAAAAATTTAAACAGTTCACACTCGAAAAATGTGGGCATGATTTTGCACCAAAAATTGACAAGCAGAACAAATAAAGCATACAAAATTCCAAATGATATGAGTGAAGAGGAAATGAAATTACATGAGAACAGGATCTTAGACAAGAAAGGAAAGGATGATCAAAATTTGGCTGGCAACCCAAGAGATTCTGACTTCGGAAGTAACTCCAAAAAAATTAGATTTGGAGTAAAGAAAAGAAAAGAAAAAAGGATGATGTGTTGTGAGAAGAAAATCGCCAAAGTTCTGAAAGTTTTTATAGAATGGATGAGTGGGAAGAGTTTTACATGCAAAAAATTATGAAGACTCAGAAAAGCATGGAGGTCAGCAAAATTTTGGATAGCAAAGAAAAATTTGCAAGATTCGAATTTGAGTTGGAGAGAACTTCACAGGAATTAATGAAATCAACTTACCTTTTTAGATGATGAGTCGCCAGATGAGCTGTGGGGAAATTTGTCAAAGATAGTGTTGTAGATTTCGCAAGGAGTTACTGTAATATCATCAAATATTGATAATTCAGAAAAAAACTGTAATTTACTAATTTTTCGGAGGTCAATTTTTGCATTCATCGTTGCCATAAAAAAAGCAAAACGAGTTCTGGCTAAGGTGTAGGTACCAGCTTTTCTTGTTTGAAAAACGAATGATATGTACGTGAAAATGTAAAAACTCACCTGAACGATGCTTTAGGAAGCAAATTCGCTGAAGTAGAGACTGTACAACTCTTGTGAAATCGCCAAACCATCCAGCGATCTCGCAAGAGCCACTAGAGTTTCGTGTGGAAATCTCCATAACCTAAAGTTGAAGAAATCTTTTAGAGTTTACGGCCGATTCTGATGATCCGGTTAAATGATTCGTGTGATCAAGTATTTTAACACTAAAATTGAGGGTTTTTCTAACAAAATAATTCTGAAGAAATCCAAGTTTTGAAGTGATTCAGCATTGCTCCGGCCGACTTATCCAGGATTACGGTTTTATCTTCCTACTTAACTCTTGCAATTGAATCTCAGCAGAACTCCATTAAGCGAACAAAGCTGCCGAATCTGTTCTTAGATCAGTGAGCCTTGTTTTTGAAATGTTAACAACTCAATTTCTTGATAAAACTTTATCCATATGGTTCAGTAAAATGAAGAACAACCGAAAGACATGTTTTTCAACGCTATAACGACTATTTTTGGAAAATCCTATGAAAATGTGATTTTTGCGAGGCAGTTTTACATTAAGATGTAATATACGTTTGTCGAGAGAACAATAAGTATGAGAGAGAATTATTTCGAGGTCAGTTCTGAAGTTCAGTCTTCAAGGGAAATTTTCCTGTTTGAGCCACATTCGACACAGCACCGTCCTAAAATAACGCTCTATTAGCAACGTTGCTTTCTTCAAGACGAGGGAGTTTAAACAGATAGGTGGCGGTAGCCACGCACTATAGAACAAGATAGGTGTATGCAGATGCAGAAGACCGAGACCGTGGGTGATTTCTTTTGTCGCCTTTGACGTGAGAAAAGACGTCATCTGTTGATAGCTAACATCCTTTTGTAGCAGTTTTTGGCGGCCAGTTTTTGGCTGAACGATACATGATCCTCCCGACTATCTCTTCCAAATAAAAGGTGCAACCTAGACTGCTTTAAGCAAAGAAACTATGAAAAACGCGATAGGATCGCATTCTGATGAGCATAATATCAACATATACCGTTCCTTCTTTATTAAAAGCAATCTTCGTAATTCTTCAAAACAATGATCAGTGTCAAATGATTTCCGGAAAGAATGCATAGAAAAAGTTGTGATGATATCAAGTGTTTAGCAGCACTGATCGCCGATTTCCTGCAGGACTGCAATGGGCGGCAGCAAACGTGACCTGGGCACACAGAGCATACGCGCTACGCGACCGCCCGCGCAGCCGACTGTGTAGATTTAAATGAGGCCTTGGACTGCAGAATTGTAAATCCAGTCAATATAGCTCGGCTAACCAAGGTCCGTTGCAGTCAGTACGACAAAGGCGAGGAAGAACGTCTCCTTGACATTTGTGTCACTTTCGCTTTCGCACTTGTTGTGTTGGGACCCGGGCTTTCGAGAAAAAAAGGGGAGGGGGGCACGTACTCACAATGACCACAAACGAAACTCGAAAGAAAGAATGTAAAGTGAAGCGAAAGGTTCAGTCAAAATCCCACCTTTCGCCTTGGCTCTTCCTGGCTTCGATTCGTTGAGATCGGATCGAATCTTCGTAACAATGGGAGTTTTGAATGCCACGCGGGGAGCTGTAGGCACTTTTTCAGTAGTCGATGATAAATTGCTACTACGTGGTCACTGAACGAATAATATAGCACCAGGGAATACTACCAGGACGGAATCGAGGTAGATGCGGAGAGAAACCGCCGTCCTACCAAAACCTCAAACTTGGGTAATTACACCCTTTATTAACAAATAACGAACAACAAAACAGATATGAAACAAAGTTCTGACAATATTCAAACATCAGGTGAATATACTGAGAATCTTTCAACGAGATGCGTAAAGCTTCCGAGGCATGAGTATCTTTTTGTTAGCACCCTTAGTAAAGGCAAGTATGAGAAATAAAAGGCGAGTGAATACAAAACCATAACAAAACGAACGGGAGAATACCAATTGAGGATATAGTGGCGAGGTTCGAACCGTGATTGTGCATTGACATCTGTACGTAGCTCTTTCGTCCGCGGCCTAGATACGTAGTTTTGGCGCGCAATAGATCATAGAGGTGCTGAGGCCGTGGGTCAAGTCCGGCCTCAGCACACTTGTCAAATTCATCAAGACGCTTAAGCCTCGCTACTAAATGTGGTAATCTCTTCTAAGCCAGTGTGGTAAAGTAGTGATCCTTTCCAAACTTTCGACTAAATTCCTGAGCGGCTCGTGAACCAGTGCATTTTTGGAAGCAAAAAGTGCTTCTGTAGTGCGAATAGTGTTCCTTCGAAGATGGGACTGTGTCTGAGGCAGAGCGCCTCTGCCTTTTGGGGAAAGTCCTCAAGGGGTTCATGCGTGTCATTCGCGTTCTGCAGGTCCGCCTTGCTTCCCTTTGGGAGCACAAAAGGTATTCTTTCACAGATGATGTGAACGGTGTTGAAATATACTTGAACAAAAAGACATTTAGAAAGGGGTAGTGTAGGAAAAAGCAGCAGAGAATAGTCAGACGCTTCAAGTATGAATAAGAGAGGTATTGAAGAATCTAGACTGAATGAATAGTGGTGAGTAGATCAATGATCAATAAGTGACGACACTATCAATATGAATTACGAAAGAGGCACGGTGACGCAGTTTCGTAAATCAACACTGTCGACTGATCGCTGCAGGACCCCCATGCGGGAATCCTTTTGGAGGAGAACCGATCGTGCTCTCTGACCACTATTGAAAGGCAAATGGCAGTAGAGCCTTTCTCTTTATGAAGGCAAGGTACCTTCTATAAGAAGAAAAGTACAAGCTTCCCAATATTATATCATACTTTGAAGTGGAAACTCTTTGACGTTGAAAAATGCGAGTACAACCTAACAAAATGAAAAATCAAGCTTCATAGCAATATCAAGAGTTCTTTAATGTTGTTTATGATGACAGGTTTTTATGAGGTCTCTTCACACTTCATAACATCACAGATCGCGAATGTTCAGATTGATCGCCTGTTTTGATCCGGATATCGGACAGCTGCAGCATATGTTCACATTATTCGCTGAAAATCTTAATTAACACAGCGCAACCTTGATGTCTTCTAATTTCACGGTTCATTATCTGCGATATTTCGCTACATTCTTTTCTCCGACATCCGTTCCCACCATTGCATCGCCACATTATCGCATCCACTTAATGATGTGCAGTACCTCATAAATGGTTACTACACCCTTTGTCCAGTTTTTTTTCCGATCTGGTATTTGTCGAATGGGTTTTCTAGCACGGAATATCCATAAAGCCATAAGCTAGATGGTAGGTAATGTTGTGCGCTGGCTGCAGCTCTCTTCATGGCTCTTTTTGGTTCCAGATTTTCATATGACCTTCGCGAGTTTTCAATAAATTTATTGAAAAAGAATTCGTGTGTGTTTGATATGATATTTTTTACACTGATTTTTAGCCCTTTACTACCATCTTAGCATATCCAGACCTTATAACTCTAGTACTTGCAAAAACTACGCTACTTCCCAAACGAAATCTGGCTATACACATTTCGAATAGACCGGCTGCCGCGATCTTCTGATCGTCGCATTGCCCTTTCGTTCATCTCTGTCAGTGCCATTATTTTTACGCTCTCCACCGAAAGAGATATCATTTCAGCAAAATCCAAAGTCCATAGAAATGCAGATCGAAACACAATACGAGGATGCGGAGGTTTTCACGAGTAAGTTATTTTTTATTAGTTTTTGAGCAAATCATTTGCACTATATTATCGATATGATATTTACTCGATAATACTCATCCAAAATTCCAAAAAAGTCGAAAACATAGTGGTGGAAAATTTTTCTAGGAGGAAAATTAAGGCAGAAGCTTTTTTATTTTTACACTTATAAATGTAAGTTGTATAGTTCGTAACCATTAAAGTTATGACTCTTTACCTTAGCAAATTTACCCAACACAACTCAAATTTTCAAATCCACAAAATCAGAACTTTTGATGTTTGATAAGTCCATTATTTTTGAAGTGCATACCAAAGGTAGAACGTTTCTTTTTTGTGTTTGTGAGTCATGCCTTATCTAATTTGTGACAGAGGCAGTTTGTGTCATCTATGATGGGCAAATGGTATAGATAATTTTTTTTTCACTTGAACTCATATCGGAGAGGTAGTCAGTTATTACTAACAAAACCCTTTCCTTCGATGAAAAATATCGCTATCCTTTCAAACTCGTGATGCCGCTCGAATTGTGTAAGGCCTCAGAATCCACGCGATTTGATCGTCGCGATTGATCGCGACAAGACAACTGTAACAACATCATTGCATGCCGATCTTCTTGCAACTCGGTTGTGATAGTTTTCCAACACGACCAATCGTGAATAGCTATCACAACCGAAATACAAGAAAATCGGCATGTAATGAACTTGTAACACATGTCTTGTAATGATTGAATCGCGACGATCAAATCGCATGAACTCTGTCCGAGGCCTAAGATCTCTTGTTAATTCTTAAATGAGACTTTATGAAAAAGGTTGCACAAATAAAATGACTAGATGGAAAACCAAGTAGACTCCAAAAATGCGCCACATTGACAAAAGTCAAAAGTACCATATGTCCTAAAATCACGTTGACAAACATTTCATACAGCTCTCCTTTGGATCAAGCTGTATAATTTCTGGAAACAGGAAACAAATCCTTTTTAACGACATCCTTTTCGTTGTCAGCTGCTTATCTACAGGACTTACATACTTTTTGCCCTGAAAACCTTTGAACCTCCGAAATGCGTCCGCACTGTCCCTCCCCAATTACTTTGAACTATGAAACACAAATGAACCATAAATTTTAAACGAAAAACGAGACGATTCCGTTGATACTTGCGTTATCCTGTCTGCTCATCTAACAAAATTACGAGTTTTTGCTTGAGTTTGTCATTTTAATTTTGGGACGCATGGCACATTTGCCTTGAGTATTTATTTCTCATAATTGCTGAGCGGCATTTGAAGGAATGAAATTCAGGTTTAGTGTGTGAAACAAATTATCTACCCTTGCTTCTTCGAGTTAAGAATGAAAACGACATTATAGCATCATTATTTACAACCTACATATCGCAAACTCTTCAAGAACACCTGCAACTCTTCAAGAAATTGCCCGAAATTGGGTGTGAAGTCTTTGTGCTTCAAATGAAGCGGTGCAACTAATTTCTGGATTTCCGTACCAGATTCCCAATAGATAGGTTTTTGATCTTCAATAACTTTCAAAACTTCTTGTTCGTAGGCTGACGCCGTTTATTAGGTTGATACATGAGTTTACACCAAAAATTTGAAAAAAAAATCATCTTTCTAAACTTTCAGTGTGATATTTGACTTTGATACACATTAGATAAAGGAAGTCTTGGACTTTCCAAATGTATTCAAACCTTATGAGCAGGGCTCCGTACGAGACGATTAGTAGAAAATGTAAAAAGTCCCCCTTGACTTCTGCGGGTTTTTATGAAGTCCCTTTCATAAAAATCCTTAGACCATAATCCCTAAAAAAATCTCCAAGAAAGAGACGATGACTGAAAAAATGTTATCTAAGTTATGTTTTTTCGGCCACCAAAACGAAACCCGCCTTTTTGTCCCAAAAACGATATCCAGCTTGCTTATAAGCCACCTGTGCCGAGCCCTGCTCATGAATGCTGTATCGCAATGATAATAGTTGACAAGCTAACAAAAAAAGTTCAAAAAGTGGTTTTCTTTAAATTCGGGCTCGCTAAATTTACTAAATTGTCTACATTATTTCCACTTTAGTTTCTCTTTTAGTTTTTTTGATTTGGCCCTATTTGCAATGAATTCATGCTGATCGAGACATTCTAGACTTATAATTTTCAAATTATTTATTCAACTTTTGCTCTTGAATCAAAAGAATCTCTAATATTTACGACAAGATACAAGTTTTGGCACATGTCAGAAGTAAAGGATGCACTTTGAAAAACTTGCTCAACATCTTTGAATTGAATTTTTTATATTTTAGGTGCAAATATGAATCAATCTTTAATAAATTTTGCATTACTTGCACCAATAACCTTCACTTTATTGCAACTCTTGATTGATTTCCACTTCCCTTCAATAAGTTGTGGAATCGCACACATTTTCTTACTGATCCTAGTCAACAAGAACATAATTAGCATTATGACAAAGTAAGCAATAAACTAGCATTAATAGCGAGCGCCGTTGTAGCCTTCCTTGCTGTTTGGTAGCTTCCAGTAGTGATTACTCGTTCCATGAATAGCTTTACGGTCAGTGTTTGAACTTTCCTTATCAGATAACACGCGGTTCGTGTTTTTTTCTGGAAACTGATATCAAAGTCATGCCAGTAGTCAGAATTTTATCTCGCTCAGAAGCCAAGTCATACACGGGACATCTGCCCCAGCCGATTGTTTCGTTTGAATTTTACTTTTTGGTTTTTTCTATGTCTTTGAAATCGGTTTTCTTTCAGCTTTCTCATTTTAAAAAAATGTCAATATTATCAAAGATAATGACTCCCAGTGACTGCTTGGTCAGAACAAATTATTCCCAACTTTCTTTCACTACAAAAAATCACGATCTTGTTTCCCGCCAAAAAACATGGGTATCGATACCCTCCGCCTTGAATCAGGTCGCCCATTCTGTCAAGGCTAAACGTTGTGATTCTTCTCTCATCATCTTTCGAGCGTAATTTCTAGTGTTTTGAAATTCTCTCAGAACTCCTGGAGACCTAATAATTCTGACTTTTTACTGACAGCTTTATATGTAAAAAAATTCCACTTTGCTTGAGTTTTTAGCTCCAAGCATCGTGGCTAAACCTCGTTTCCCACCTTTATGCGAAATTTTTTTCGAAACTTTGGCGCGCTAAGAATTCTTCCTTTTTGAAAAGAACCTTACTGATTGAATCATGAGAACTTCTGCAAAATTTTCAAAGGGCACTAATTCATGCACATTCCTTGCTTGTGTCTACAATCCTCTATGTCTTAGCACGAGTCCAATACAAAAAATTTGAAAATATTTCTTTGAATATCTCCAAATTTTTTATTCTCTTCGATCAACGAATTTTTAATCGAGAAAAAGCTACATTGACCATTCATCATGCATTAATTCACCTTCAGTAAATCGAAACAGGAAGTTTTTCGCTGTAAATTCTAGTAGCTGTAATTTCTAGTATAAGTAGAGTATCTATATCAACAACGAATTATTTCTATATGTAGAGCAGAAAATCTGTATGTCTGTGTTTCCCATAGCCACATTTCCTATAGACATGAGTTAAAGTCGATGGCCAGCAGGTCAAAATAGGCGTCACCAGCGATGAAGCCTATTTTGATCTGCTGGTCATTATAATATTTCAAGCACAATAGAAAGCAAATCCAAGAAGGTCGGAATTAAAAGAAGAATGTTTTGCTACATAAGAAGTTAAGCACGATAAACAGGCTCCCAAACAGGGGTGGAACCCGAGATGCCTACTCGTAATAGATAAAATCAAAATCGAAATGTAATGGCATGTACAACTTGAAGTTAAGCACAGGTCCAACTTGAAGCTATCAAATTTTTGTTCTAATTTTCATACAGTATTTCACGACTTACTCAATGAATTTTGGCCAATTTTTTTGATCAAAAAGAATTATATCATCTAATTATCACTCATTGACATATCTTTAGTAAAGCAAAAAGAGGGAATTTTACTGTTCTAATTCCTGGGGTAAGATATACTCACAATGAATCAAAAAAGCATCGAAGTACGATGATAGCATATTGGTGGTATAATGCAAAACTTTCTGTTTTCTTTGATTTGCTTCTCAGTTTAATTTTACTTCCATGAATGCGTCTTATTGCTAAGATATTATTATATTTTTTAAAAGAAATCCAAGCGAGCACAGATCACGATTACCTCCAAATTTGCAAAAATTTCAAAGTGATGATGTATCCTCTCTCCCTAATTTGCAAATAAAGAAAAGGATGCCGTCTGCACAGTGCATAAAACCTGTCCGCAAATGCGAAAGACGAAAGTTTTCGCTGAACGAGCAAAAAACTCTATAACGTGCGTGATTAATAGTTTCTAAATGATCATTGCACTGTCGTCACCCAGTGTATCACTCATAACTACCACTAGTTCCTATCTCCAAAAGATTTTTTTTGAAAAACTGTCATGTTTATGTGAAGCCAGTCACGCTTTGTACATCGTCTGGTGCTGTCTTTGCTTCTCATGTTACTGTATTTTTTAATCTGTACAGTTGAGGAGATAAAGCAGGTTATTTTCCTTCGGAGGCCAAATATAAACGTGGTGGTTGTAGAATAATCTGCTTTTTAATAATTTTTATCAAACGCTGGATTCCTCATGTTCGCATTTCTTGCTATTTTTTCCAGATTATCCTAGAAATTTGTGCATTTTTTGTCTACTATGCTTAACCAACCATTTTAAACATTCCATAGCATTCTTTCAGCAAAAATTATTGAATAACGTGCAAAAGACCAAATCCATTTGATGTAACCTTTCACCCAAATGTAACCTTTTTAGAATTTCTGGTATATTTCCAATTTTCAAAAAAGGTTCTTTGTGAAGCTTGGATTTCAAACAGAAAATCAGCTTGACTGCACCCAACACCTCAAAAATATTTCTCAAAGAGAATGGTTGAAAATGTCGAATAATCAAAGTTAACAATCTCAGTAAACAAGAAAAGGGCATTTACCAATTTCATTCATTGCTAAAAGGCAACATCTTTTCATGTCAGGTGCGCTCTAATCATCTGCTAATTCCACTCCTCGGTGGGGTGGGACGGGGGGGGGGGAGCAGATACATCAAGAAAAATAGCAAACTTGACTGTGACAAAAACAACGGGTTGGATGATTTTCTACAAACTCTTAATTATACAATACCGCTCATAAGATGTCGAAATTCTAGAAATGTCACGGACTTCCACGGATTTCTCGGAATTGCGCGGAATTCGAAATTTTGCATATTCTTTGAGCGTATTGATCTTCCTCTCCGATCCAGTTTCAAAAGAAGAATCTTGAGCAGCAAAAACTCCACCTTAGATTACATTTATATTATCTTTAGAATTATAGTTTGTGAGATTGAAATTATAATTCTAAAGAAATGAAATTATATCAATGAATTTTGTTCTAGTAACGGACATATGACTAACTTCTCTATCAAATAAGAAGTCCTGATGTTATCATAAACGATTTACAATCGCCCATAACCATTTGATGAGTATCAAACAGACTCTTATCATATCACATCACATTGACCAGGTTATTAACTTCTGCTCTACATTTATACTCTGAAATCCCACTTCTGCCTACAATTCTTTGAAATTTGCAGTATGCTATATAATGTGTCGGTCCATTTCGTTGAAGTAATGCGCTATTTCCGATTGAAGATTAATGTGGTATGGACTGGTGCAGTCAATTTCCTCTCGTCTTCTTGACTTGTATTTGCACTGATGTAGCACTATTTAACATCTGAAAAGTTGTTTTCTCAAAACATTACATAGCACTGACCTTGAGTAACATTCAAAATTTCACATTTATTCGTAATTTCATTGTGGAGCAAATGGTCGGCAAAAACATTCTGCGTAAATAAATACTATAACTTTCTGCCTTGAATTTGATGTCATCAAAACTTCTTCTGCTTCAATAGCGAAGATGAAATGCTTATCCTCTCAGAATTCATCGGAACCTCCACAGGACAAGCAAAATGTGCAGCGGTTCCGGATTCTGTTATTAAAAAGTGGAAAAATTGAAAATAGGTACTTCCGCGAAATTTTCACGTCAGACTGGTTGAGAACGGGAAATTTCGCAGCACTTTTTACAAGCGCTGCGATATTTCGAAAATTGTCAGCGGTTCCGCAGCACTTTGACATGCCAGTACTTCTGCAGAGTTTTGAAGTTGTCTTATACGATGTTGCCTTGCCAACAACTAGAATGCATTATCGAACATGTCAGCCGTAGTACAGAGGATAGTAAGTGAGTCTCACAGTCAACAGAGTAAAGTTCAAATCTCGTTTAAATGTACTCTTTTGCTGTTGTGATTCGCATTCCTCGAACTTCCGCAGCACATTTACGGAGCTTCCGCAGGTGACCCGGCGGAATTCCCCCGACCGTTTTGCGGAAATTCCGGTCATTTGTCTAAGGTGTCCATTTTTCAGTGCACGAATCTAGAGGGGGGGGGGGGAGGGGAGGAAGTTTGAAAATGTCTGCGTGCCTTATATCTTTATAAGATACGTTTCTACCGTAAATTCTCAAAATTAGGTAAAATAATTTTGAAGTTCAAGATAGCAGACGCCAAATAGCGAAAGCATGAAAATTTTGAAAATTGAACTGGAACTGAAACCTTGAAAATTTTTCTAGAGTGGCTGCTCTGTCGCTCTTTCCTGGCTACTCTGTCGCATTTTCCTTCCCTTCTACTCCAAAATCTTCTGCTCCGTACTATGAATACTATCTTCGATAGAAGAAATTACTACAGCTCTTGGTAAATTTTCAACAAATTATCATTCAGCTCCGATAATTGCCTCAATGTAGGCTCTATTTTGAATCATAACATAAATATATGCGCTTCTGAGAACTCAGACAAACATAAGCTCAGATTTTCGTCAAAAAGGATGAAATACGGGAATAAGAGACAAATCTGATTTTGCATTCAGCATGATAAAACAACTTCGGGATAAAGCAAAATGCTCACAACACGTGATATGATATTTGCAAACAGGTTTTCTCCAACAATAAAATATTTCTTTTCTCCAACAATAATATGTTTCATTTCTCTAATAATTTTTTGTACAATGTTTATAGATCAACTTTTCCTCCTTCATCATAACATCAATGCACCTAACATTCAATTATCTTTGTGCAAACGAAGTCAATAAATCTCCTTCCGAAAAGTCCTTGTCGTATCAGTATTTCTGAGCAATAAACAGAAAATTGAATCTAACACCCGTGCTAAATGACCTCGACCAGAAGGGCGCCATTTTTTGAAACATTGCCGCTATTTTCCCAGCCGTACGATGCGCAGCTCTGACTCAGCCATACCAACAACACTAGACGGTTTGCACTACTCGGCTATGACTAATTTGTAGAGTTCGAAAAACTTGGACAGAAGATTCGAGGAGAATCTGTCAGTGTGAAAAATCTACTAGCATATATTTTGTGAAATTACTCTATATCTCGAGCTCACGTTGTTTCTCATTGGAATTCTCTGTATTTATTTATTTCAATTGTTGATTTTATTTAGTTTTAGTCTTGCTGCCTTATTACGGAAAAAACAGTGCAAAGCTTTTTTCTAATCACCTTTCTAATCTAATTAGTCTTCTAATGACTTGCACCGTTCTGTGAACCTCTTATAAACTTCTTTCTTTTCCTTCTTGCTCCAAACGAAAGTGTATTGGATTTTGCAGCAATGTATCTACTCCCTTATATAATCAAAATTTTGTTGGTTCAAATATTGCTACAATTTTCATATTTGATCACAAGAAGGTTAGCGCGTCAGTTTTATCACATTATTGGAAAATTCTGGAAAGTAGTTGGAAAGCTCTTCATTTTCTATATTTTTGTAGAATAGCCTGTAAAACTGATATCATTGATTGTTTCGAGTTTTATCATAAATTAGCATGTTTCTCGTCATTAATTCTCCAATTATTTTTGAAAAGCGCACTCATATAGAATAAATTACAGCTTATATCTGGCGTTTCGAAAATCAGCAACAGTAAGCAGCTCAATTCAGCTACCCAGTTCTGGAAAAATCGAAAATAGGCCTCGGCTTTTTTTCTTGTCATTTGTTTCTCTGTAGAAGATTACTCGAACGCTATCCAAGGGGCAAGTTTTTCTCCCCCAAATGAATTCAGAATCATGTAAGCGGCTGAGATTTCAAGAAGCTATGCTTTAAAAAAAACTTTGAAAAAGCTTACAAAACATCAATGCCAATCCAAGGTTGGTTTATATTTTTTTGTATTAAGAGAGGGAAAATAGATTTTCGTAAGGTAAAGTATTCTTTCACGCGAACACAATTTTATCTGTACGTCATCAATATTCAACCTATCGTTCAATTTTGAAACTAGAAACTATAAATCTTTACCTTTTCTAGTTTCATTATCTAGATTTTATCCGACAATTACCAAAGGTTGATAGAATTTTTTACAGCAGTGAGAACCTTGCTAAAGATCACTGGTTTATGGATGACTGACGGTTAATAGATAGTTTTGGACATTGAAGGCGAACTTTATAGTACAAATGCCTAGAATCCGTTATATAAAATACTCGTAATTTTCTTGCACTTTCAACTGTTACCAGTAATTGACTTAACATTTGATAAATCGAAAATAAGCACTATTCTTGCTGCGATCATAGTAGGTTTCAATTTGAGCTGTTTGTAATTGTTAGAAAAAATCTTCGTAGCATAATTTTTTGAAAAGTTAAATTCGAAATAACATGAGGGTTATAACTGTCAGTTGTCCTGTTCTTTTGAATTTTTGGATTTTCCGCGCTTTTTACTTACTCTGAAAAGTCACTTGCTTTTTGTCGAATACATGGCACATAATGGAGGTTAAATTTTTGAAATTTCACAAATTTTTTCGAGTCATTTGGCATTTTCACTAGCATTATAAAAAGCTTTAATCTCCGAACTGTCTATTTATCAGTACTGCTGTTCTCCAATAGAAAATCATAAAAGACGAAAGAGGGACTAGAGAGTTAGCAAAAGGTAAAGAAAAGAATGGAAGATGTAGCACCTTCACAAATTGCTTTTTACTCTGTAGGTTATACGCGTAAAGTTTAAGACTTGATATTTTTCTCGGATATAGTAAAGTTGCTTGCTTTTATGAATATTTATTTGTGCAAAATTTTTTATCCACTTAGCAACTGCTTCAGGCAAAATTTACACCGCCCCAATCCTTCAAATTTCCATAGATTGCATCCCTGATTCGAGAAGTATACAAATTTTTTGAGATAAATTTTACAAGCTCATAAATCCCACACTCCGTAAGTTTCAGTTCCGTTTTGGGAAATGCGTACCCATGTCTTTTCTGGATAACTACAGACTTTCGAATTTTCTATACTTCCGAAATTTTATCCATAATTCGAAAAATATAAATGTTCTTTTCCGAAAAAAAGCTTATATTTGGTCCATGCGTGTAAATCTCACTTCTATTTTACAAACTTCACAAGCTCACTGTCCAAACTTCCATAAATTTCATTACTGTTTCTTAAAATATGGATGTTTTCGGTCTTCTCACAAACCTCACAAGCTTATCCGTTCATACTTTCGTCATTGATCACTGTTAATCGGCCATTTTTCTGCTATAAAGCTTTGCCATCGGTGTCCATTTCTTCTCTCCAGAAACCGGTCTCTTTGCAGTTTTAAGGTGTGAGACATATCTTTGATGAATTGATTAGCCTAATTAGTCTTTGCCAGCTTTTCAAGAACTGGGCGGCAAACATCATAGTCGTAGTTTCTCTCCTTCCGTTCATTGCAAGGTTGTCGCTTGTTTTCAATTTGTTCGAATTTTCAAAATTGCCGCGCTTTTTTCCGACTCCGAAAGTCATTATTTACAATCAGTGTAGTTCAGCTATGCGTGAACATGAATACGCTACCATAGTGTTCAGAAACAGAACCAATGAAGTTCCAGTTAAACATGGTATATTTTAAACAATTTTTGAATTTTTTGAAAATTGATCTACATTTTTCAGAACATGCAAGCGAATTTTCAGCGGCATCTCTGTCAGTTAGAGCACAGAAGAAAATCGCTAGCAAACTTAGTACCAGGTACTTTTTTTTTACAATTTTGGGTGTTGAGGATTTATTCTGAATTCTAGGAAAACTACAAAACTCTTCTTGAAAGATTCTATTGATCAATGTTTCGACAGCTTTTACCATGTTCTACGAACTTACTATTCAAAGAAGGACTCTGAAAAGGTAAATCTTTGGAAGTAATTGCGAAACTTTTTCTTTTATATAATTTCTAGTACGAAAATGCATTCAACATATTTTTGCCTTATCTTTTCTTCTGGTAATTTGATAAAGAGTTTTAGTCATCAACGCGTGAAGTTCAATTTTGTTTTGGCTCCAGCATGGTTATCTCACTTCATAAAGTCACTTTATAACACGTACACCTATCAAATTGTGAGGAGCTTCTTTTTAGAAAATCAAGAATTACTAAGGTTGCGAAATTTGATCAATTGGTATTACTAAACTCCAATATAATCTTTTTTCAAAGTTTTATCCCTAAACTGGCTTGAATATATTTTTTCATAAAGTAAGAGTTTGTAAAGAAGTTTGCTCATTTCCAAAAGTGACGAAAAACACTTTTTGGTCTTCGTCAGTGATGCGAGATCCTAGAAATTTTATGCTAGTTGCTAGTCATCATCACTTGTTTAGTAGATGAAGATGGCAAATGCGTTTCTGTAAATTTGACGCAACATTACAACCAAAAAAGGTGTGCGGACATGGCCTTGCTTTTTTTGAAATTTACAGTAATAAATTTGCAAGAAATATTACTTTGAAAGCAGTTCATCATAACGATGCTAAAAAAAGTTCTTGATCATTCTTTAAGCTCGTTTATTTGGAAACAAAATCTGATCAAAGGCACCAACGAGCAAAATGCATCTACGCTTTCGTACGTTTTCCCCTGATGAGTTTATCAATCCTATGAAGCAAACTGTTCAGCCCCCTTTTTGTACCCTTTGATTCAACTGGCATGGCGGCTGGAAGGCGGGGCTTCGTGACCTAATTAAGCTTAGATAATAATCAGAGAGCACGCACGCGAGAGAGACGCAGACTGCGTAAAGGCGCGAGCGGCCTTAATTAGATCACAAAGCCCCGCCTTCCAGCCGCAAAGCCAGTTAATTCGACGGTTACAAAGAATAGTAACACTGGATGAAGGCGGGAAGAGGAAAGAGAGGATGCGAGCCTTTTGAAAATAGGCAATTTAATTTCAAAAATCTTTATAGCACAGTTAGTTACAAAAGTGTTCAAGTGATTAGCTTTTGCTTGCAGATAAACAAAGCATTTCTTTAAAAAATTTTTAGAAACTAGAAGTTCACAATACTGTGAAAAACTGGGATAGGGGAGAGGGGGGGGGGGAATGCTAAAACTTTTCTTCTTCAAAGTTGAGGCTATAAGCCACTAGTCATCTTCAAGGGCAGTTCGAAGAAATTTCTCCAGGACATGGCTGGCCCTTCTTCATTGCAAAAAATGTTTTGCTCCATCAAAAAAAATCCGCCACTGTAGAGCGGATTGAAGCTTCCGCTCCAATCAGAGGTCTCGATACTTCATCACTCCGAAATTTTTAAAAGTAAACCTTAGCTTGCAACATTTTGGAAATGGTTTAATTCCGACAGCTTTGATGCAACGGGCTGGCGGCTGGAAGGCGGGGCTTTCTGACTTAATAGAAGCCGCTCGCGCCCGCGACGCTGCCTGCGTCTCTCCCGCGCGCGTGCTCTCTGATCATTATCTAGCCTTAATTAGGTCACAAAGTCACAAAGCCTCATCTTTCAGCCGCCAAGACAGTAGAATCAAAAGGTAAAAGCCCAATAAGATCAGCATGGCTAGCGTGTTCTCAACCATCTCAGTGACATGCATTGAGACTAAGCTTGATTGCTACTAGCCAAGTACTTAATGAGTAGAAATAATAGAAATATGGAGAAACTTGAAGGATTGAAATGTTCATGCAGACCGTTATTATCTAAAATTTGCGAAGTTTGCTCCTCTACAAACATAAGAATTACTCAAAAGCTCGAATGAAAAAATACTTTTTAGAAGTACTCCTTCAATGATGAAATTAAAAAAAAAGAGAGAGGTCACTCCTAAGCAGTAATCTCACTTCAGGTTATCAAGAACATAATCAAACTATCCGTCAAGTTAGCTATATTATCTCTAAACGACATGCTATCGAAAGAAGACCTGGAGAGATTGGACGATGTTCAAAGGCAATTACATAGCCTCCTTCTGACTGTTGTGTCTTTCGTAAAGGTAAACTACAAGATTTATTTATTACTCCATTGAACTTATGTTTACCTTCTAGGTTGAGTATTCTTTCGAGCGAACGCATCTCATCGAACTGTTAAGGAATATGCAAAGTTCGCTTGTTCCACTCGTGAGTTATTGTAGATTTTCTGGCCACGTTCAGAGTTTCAGAGTTTCCCGTATCAGCGCCGTTCCAGCGCCGTGCAGGGCCATCAATCGATCGATGCGGAGCATGTGCACGTGGGTCCGGCACGGTGCTGGCGCGGCGCTGACGATGCTAATAAAAAGCTTAGCTCCGATGCATGTGCATCACAGACATCTAGGGGATAATGAGTCGCCGATAGGCTTTACCCGCGCGGACAACTAGTGCGACTGTAATCTTAGGTTTTTAACCTTTGATTCAACTGGCTTGAGCTGGAAGCTGGGGCCTTGTGACCTAATTAAGGCTAGGTAATGATCAGAGAGCACGAGCGCGGGAGAGACGCAGACTGCATAGAGGGCGCGAGCGGCCTTAATTAGGTCGCAAAGCCCGCCTTCCAGCCGCCAAGTCAGTTGAATCAACAGTTAAGTCAGACACAGGCTTGGCCCTTCAGATTTTAACAATAAATTGGGAATTGCAAAACTAAGAAATTTCTCGAATTGTGGCGGAAATCCAAAGGAAATTCTCTGTATTTTAGGTTTCACTGAAGCTATCTGATAAATCGACAAAACGCTTGGAACATGTCATCAGTCATGTGACAAAAATCGAGTTCCTTGATGGACTTTTTAAGGTTTGTTTTCTTTAAAGATCCAGTAGTATCTGATTTTGCAGAGAAAATAGTCTAGTTTCGTAATACTGCAGAACTTCTTTTTTTTTCACTATAAAAAAGCGTGTTGTAGTCTAAACATAACAACTATGTTTATAACAATTTCCTCAAAATTAGTAGGTCGAATGAACTTTTTATCTTGCAATGTACAGTCGCTTCATTTCATATGATCATTTGTGTCATTGCACACACAGTTCACCTTTGGCGTCCCCATCCTGGATTCTTGAGAGAAACAAGCCTCAGGTAAGTGTTTCCAAGGTGTTCTTAGCATTTTCTTTCCTTTTTACTTACTAGTCACCTCAAATTGATGTAATCGATAACAATCGGTAAGTCTCTTGCGTTTTTGCGATTGCAAATCAAGGATGAGGACGCCAAAGTGGACTGTGTGTGCAACGGCACACATGATCATATGAAATGAAGCGACTGTAGCTGTCGCATTAAGAGTGTCAAAGCTTTTGCGGATTAGCCCTCGCGACCGCTTCGCTCGGTCTTGCGCAGCGTTCGCGAACATGTATTGGACATTCCTCACTCTTGAATGTTCAGCGTTGTACCTCAGACAAACATTCAGCCGTAAATCAATTGCCTCCACTTCTGGAGAGTAGGGAAAGAAGCGAACTCTTGATGTTACCACCTTTTCATTTTCATTTCATTTTCATTAAATACGCTCGAGGCGTACCATAAAAAAACAAACAATGTAATTGTTAGTTTCACACAAGCAAGAATAACAACAGAACATCATATGCTTCAGGCCCAGTCATAAGGAATAACTAACGAATAACGACTTAGCTTGCAAGAAGACTGCTGGATATCACGAATGTCAATGATAAGTTGTATCCATAGAGATGGAACCCATGCCCCCGCGTTAGCCAGCAAACGATCTTTAAGTATTCAAACAAGCAAACGACGGCGGATAAATACCCACCGGCCTGCCGGGGAGAGCCCAAAACTCCATGAGCATTGCTATATGTGCAAAACAGAATACTGTCAAGTACTGCACAACGAATATGAATAGGGGCACGCAACTTAGGGCTTGCCCAAAAATGCGTCGCGATGTTTGTGAAAGTGGTCTGCGTGAATTATGTATCGTCGAGTCAAACTCAAGTGGGGCTTGCACACAACGCGCGGCAACTGACGACAGTACCTGCCTTTCTTTCCATTTTTTTACGTAACAAACTGTAGAGTGTGTATCGCTAAAGAATACGTATCCAAACTAATCAAAAGAGACAAGAAAACAAAGAAAATCATGAAAATGAGCGGGTCCTGATCTTACGGGATGTGCCGCACATTATGTGCAGCACACATATCAAGTCGAATGATTCGGCAATTACTTTTTGTCTGGAAGATAGCTACGACACCCTACAAACTACAATACTACATCACTTTTCCAGGTGAATGGTCCCCATGCAGATGTACTGGACGAATTCATAACAAGGCTAGAAAGTCTGCTTGATTCTGGGGATTTATAGTCCTCTTTCTCCGCCTTATAAAATAACAATGTTTGCTGTACATTGCTTCAAACCAGTGATATACGTTGACTTATGCCTTGTCCATCTCTCCCAGGTTGTCACAGTAAAAAGCACTTCACTGGCATTTGCTAATTTTTGATCTTGTTTTGTTGTTGTGATATGATTACCTTGCCCTCTGTATCATATAATGGCCATGCTCAGGTCACAAAAAAGAATAAACGCATGTAATCAAATACTCTTGTTTTCGTCCTATCATGAATCTTCGCATAAATGGTTGAGGAGGTTAGAAAATAGTAGCAGGTGTCTAAAAGCTAGTGCCGACGAAGGCGTGACTGCGGTATCAACGGAGGCAGGAGCGAAAACAGCGCGTGTATCTTCACCGTTCCAAAGTCACCATCGTTGTGTTTCTGCCCTGATAAACGCACACGCGCCCATAGCCTTTTGCGCTTATGCGGCCTGGTGCGGTCTCCGTTGGCTAGAACCGCTTTTGCGCTATTAATTAACCTTAGCTTCCTCGCTCTGGTAATTTTCGTCCGCATCGTCCTACTGTTCATAATTCTAACGTAAGGTTCTAGAAAAACCTTGAATTGATTTTACTACGAAGACTGTCAAGCCTATAGGCCGATTCTTCGCGCGCAAAGACATGGCGTCGCTACGAACGCTACCGGCGTCTCGCTGACCGAGTGCTCTTTCATCCCTCTTGCGGTCTGCTGTCTCTCGCATGCACGCACTCAGTTGGACGTAGGTCCTCATGTAATCGCCGGAGACGGGCGGATCACATACTCGCGCTTTTTTAAGCGGTCAGCAAAATTTTGGAGCGTGGGTCAGCGAGCGGTACTTCCATGTTCTGCCAGCGGACAGCAATACAGCATTTTCTGCGAACGCTCGTCAAGCAATTTTTTCCAGCGAACGGGGGCCAAACTTTTAGCTGGGGCAAACCTTCGGCGAGCGTTCTGACTCCTGTTACGCATTTTCGGGGTACGTCGAGCAAAGGTAGAACTCCGAATGGCAAAGGTGTAATCACTATTAAATTACCCAAGTTTGGGGTACTTTCTCTCAGCGGAAGTACTTACTTGCCACCGAAGAAGGTCTACGAGAACGCGTTCAAATGATGATTCGCCTTTACGCTGTCACTTTGATAGTCACAATTGAAAACTTCTAGGCAGTTTTTGAAGGTTTTTCTGTTTCACGCAAGACAAAAATCCACTATACACACGCAAATTTGCCTTTATTCGTTACGACTGAGCTAACCATAAGTTGACGAAGATGCAGGGCTATATGGAACGGTCCTTCCGAGGTCGTCATATAAAGACATAAGGTAGAACTGGTGATGTTTCTGGTTCATGCTTGCAGACCTGCCTTACCGGCGAGTACACAACGAAGATTACCTGTAATTTTTAAATGAACTGAAACGCAGCAAGAATTCATAAAAGTTACCGCAACGATGGAGCTTACGACATACTGTCAACTTGCAAACAGCGCCCCAACTACCATGACACTTGACTGAACTGCCTTTTGGCAATTCAACTTGTTATTGCAAAGCATGGGACGTTGGGCCGTCGTAAAGATTCACGTTTCTTCTGAGGAGATGAACTTAGGTCAACTATCTAACACCTGCAGGCTGGCCATAATTGTAAAGACACTTTCAAAATCGTCTTAATTTTGTTCTTGTCAATGAATCTGTCTGAAACTTAGCTGTACTGTGCGCATGTTAACCTACCATGACCCCTTCAAACGGCTCTCAATCTTGTTGAGTTTGGACGGAGAAAAGTGGAAAATTCCAAAAAGCTCATAATGAAAGCTAGAAAAATTATAAAGATACCTTGATCTTTCAATCACTATCGCATTCCTTGACTCTCAAACTTTTTTGCAAAGATATTTCCTAAAATATGAAACACTAGCTGGCATACCCGGCTACGTGTTCTTCTTTGAATTCAGTAATTTATCAATGTTCAAATAGCTTTACCTACTATGATCTCTATGACCTACACACAATGTTTTGCTTGCAAATTTAATGTTGATCTAAATTTGGAGTTTTGACAGTAATTTTTGAAAGTAGCTCAAATTTATAGACAAAATCACATAGCAAAAGCTTAGCAGTATGAATGGAATAATGGTACAGATTATATTGCGAAAATACAATAGTTCCATCTATTTTTGCTAATTTGACATTTCTGTTGGGATTTTTTGAAAAGGCGAGTTTTTTTCACTTAACAGGTTTGCTCGGCTACCAGAATGTACATGTAAGCATAGTGGGATGGGAGTGATTAGCATAACACTCAAAAAAAGAACATTTTCATTGCTCCATCCTGTAATCGGTTACTTTCTATTTATTTCCAATGCTTCATCACAGAAAGTTCAACAATGCCTTCACTTTCTTCACCGAGAAGTGGACTGTGACAAAAGTGAGAGTAGCCTTGTTTTCTTTGGCTGCTACAGTTCAGTCCTTCAATATTTCTACGTATTATGACAAAGAACGTTTCTCTAATCATAAAATCGAACATATTTTGTGAATGACTGTCACTAATGCTGTTATTTTTGAGGCCTTAGCTTAGATTCGCAGCAGCAAATCCAATGCCTTTGACATACAGGGCTTAACGATTGTGCTGTCTCCTGACCAGCACCTCCGCTCCCGCGCAGGGCCTGCCTTCTTCTGCGAGCATGCTCTCTAATCATTTGCAATCAACTGAGGCTCCGCCTTTCCGCGCTCGCGGTGGAAAAGTAATCAGAGAGCATGTTCGCGAAAGAGATGCAGAGTCGGCGGCGAGGCGGCCGCTCGGAAGCGGAGAGCTGGTGCGCCGACGCTGCAGTTGATAAGAATTGTACATGCTGAAATAGGAGACATTGAGAATTGGAGCCCATAGTGTTAGGAAGAATGCTACATACCTCAGCGTAAGCGCATATTTTATTTTCGAACGTATAAGTTAACCTATTGAGGTACACTTCCCACTGCGCTTTGCATGCAAAAAACTCAGAATGAGACTTGCCGCTAATCTTCGCTCTCACTTGGACAAATGATTTGATAAACCCTTCATTTCCTAAATTTACGTAAACAAATCAGTAAATCGTTAGAAGGACTCAACGAATTGTCGCGAAAAGTAGCCTATGTTCTGCGCTGTGGCTCATTTATATGGGAGCAAATTTCAGCTCAAACGGTCAATTCATAAAGATTTCTATAAACACAAACCTCTTCAGCAACTTAGAAACAAACTTTAAGCTTTATATATATATATATATATATCAGTGGCGCACCGAGGGGGGGGGACGGGGGAGGGCCCCCCCCCCCGAGAATGGGTCACGAAATTTTTGAAAGTTACTTAAATGGGCTATAAAATTGTGCAAACGACTTGTCTGCACTTGTAAATTTAAAAATTCATCTTAGCCTTATAAAAAAATTTTTTTCGGGGGCTTGGCTGATGCCACGCACCTTAATCGGAAAAAACTTTTTTGTCGCCCCTCCTCCGAGCCAAAAGCCTGTATATATTAGGTTGTCCCAAAAGTTCTTGCGCCGGATTTTCAAAAAATCATATCTTCCTTGCCACTCGATGGATTTTCTTGATTTTAATTTCATTTAAAAAAGGAATCCTTTCTCTTTACAAGTATACCTTTGTTGTGAAGCGGCGTCAAAAAGTTCCAAATCTAGAAGCAACTGAATGAAATCAGGCAAGATCGGCATTTTTCAAGCTGGATCACGAAAAATTCTGGAAGTATTTTTATTTGATAGAGAAAATTTTGCACATTACAGTGGTGCCTTTCCTATGAATTAATACGAAGTAGATCGAAAGTTAGAAGCAAATAAAGAGAATTTCTTCAGTTTTGCAATTTTTGAGCTTGATCAAAAAAGCTTGAAAACGTCACAGAAAAGGCGAAAAAGTCATAAACATGGGTTTTGTGACCTTCCCTTTCTAGCTGAGTGAAAATCGTGCCAATCGAGAGCAATTTTGATTTTCGTGAAAAACGCAGGCCCGAAAACCAGAAAAAATCACGAAAAACAAAATTGCTCCCGATTGGCGCGATTTTCACTCAGCTAGAAAGGGAGGGTCACAAAACCCATGTCTATGACTTTTTCGTTCTTTCTGTGACGTTTTCAAGCTTTTTTGAGCATGTGCAAAAAATGCTAAAGTGAAGAAATTCTCTTTACTTGCTTCTAACTTTCGATCTACTTCGTTTAATTTATGAGAAAGGCACCACTGTAATGTGCAAAATTTTCTCTATCAAATAAAAATACTTCCAGAATTTTTCGTGATCCAGCTTGAAAAATGTCGATCTTGACTAATTTCCTTCAATTGCTTTTAACTCTCGAACTTACCAGCGCTAATGCATGGCAAAGGCACCCTTATAAAGAAGAAGGCTTCCTCTTTCACATAAAAATAATTTTGAGAAAAATCGTTGAGAAGAAAGGAAGTTATGATTTTTTGAAAATCCGGCGCAAGAACTTTTGGGACAACCTAATATATATATATTAGGTTAGTCCGAAAGTTCGTTCGCACCATTTTCAAAAAATCATAACTTCCTTCCCTCACAATGATTTTGCGCAACTCAAATTTTATTAGAAAGCGTAAAGCATGTAGTTTCCAAAATTCCCCTGGCGACTTTTCAGCATGTTCAGATTGCAGAGATAAAAATGAAAGAACGAAAACATCCGAAATTCAGAATTTTTGAGAAACAATTCCAAAAATCTAGAAACTGCGCGATAAAATCCAGAAAAGCCATTATCCTGATTTTGCTTATATTTGATTACTAACTGAGTTAAGTTTGTGCTGATCGAGCTCTTCTTTCAAAAGTTATGACTTTTTGAGAAAAAAGGCCGAAAAATCAATTTCTTAGGGATTCTTAGGAAAGCGATTTTTCGGAATTTTTTTCAAAAAATCATAACTTTTGAAAGAAGAGCTCGATCAGCACAAACTTAACTCAGTTAGTAATCAAATATAAGAGAAATTAGGATAATGGCTTTTCTGGATTTTATCGCGCAGTTTCCAAATTTTTGGAATTGTTTCTCAAAAATTCCGAATTTCGGATGTTTTCGTTCTTTCATTTTTATCTCTGCAATCTGAACATGCTGGAGAGTAGCCAAAGGACTATTGGAAACAACATGCTTTACGCTTTCTAATAAAATTTGAGTTGCGCAAAATCATTGTGAGGGAAGGAAGTTATGATTTTTTGAATATGGTGCGAACGAACTTTCGGACCAACCTAATATATTAGGTTGGTCCGAAAGT